GGTTGGGCGGGTACGCTGGGTCCGGAACCGGGGCCCGATCTGGAAGAGTAAGGTGGATTAATTGTGTTTTTTGTAAATTTATATTGAGTGTCTCACCTTTGTTGTTTACATTTTCATAGTTGTTACAGCTGTTTATTTTGTTCATGAGTTAGAAGTTCCGATTGTTTGACGTTATCGTTCATAATATATTTGCATAGTGCTGTGTAAGTCTGTTTTGCTACAGACGTGTAGCTTTGTTGTTATCGATTGTGCGGACTGCGGGCCAGGGATGGGACTACACCCAGAGAAACCGATGAGCCAGCCGGCGCGGCCCACAGAGAAACAAGCAGTTCCGTAACAATATGGCGCCCAACTTGAAGAAGCACTCGGCTTCTTTGAAGTCGTTGCGTAATCATAGAAAAACAAATACGATATAAATGAAGGTACAGAGAAAAGGATTCCTTTGGCTTCAGGACCCACACCGCTGAAGTCTTATGTGGCACGAGTAGGGAGCTCATAATCGCGCAGCGTGACGTGGAATCCGAGAAGCACGACGAAAGTAGAGAGTATCCATAAACATGAGAAGTTTTCTCTTAGTGGTTGATGACGGTAAGTCACGTTTGCATGTTGGCGAAACGTTCGCGTTCAAGGTAGCGTTCCTTGAATGCCGTTCGTCAGTCAAACTGACGAGCTGAGCATTTGACGAATGCTTAAGTGTTGTCCACTGTCCAGATTATGCGTAGATTAGTTAGCCTGTGTTAGGATTTCTTCCCCAAGTATTTGAAATTAATTAGAAAGAAAAAAATTTAATTTTGTAAATGTTTTTGTGGTCGATGTGTATGAAATTATTATTCTCTATTAGTAAGATTTGTTAGTGGGTGTTTATTTATTTATAAATTTATTATGAATATTGGTAACGTTTTGTTTAAGGGTAGCAATTTTTGTAGAAGAGAGGGGTACAGTTCTCAGAAGGGATAAGTATGGCTGAGGAACAGGTGTCTGATTGGGCTTCTGACGCTGATGGGGCGTCGGCTCTGCCACCGCCGCGCCCGGCTGGGGGACTGGTGCGAACGCCAATGAATTTCCGGGGATTTCCAGAGAGACAGATCTCAAATCGGCGGCAAAAGCGGCGATCGCTCAGGCCCACCAAACGTATCGGCATGCTCTGCCATCTGGCATCAGCGAGTCCATCCGCGAGGAGATGCGAGCTGGCTTCATGGAAATTATGAAGGGCATCATTGATGTGCTCAGGCCGCCAGACTAACACTGCGCCGAACCCGCCGAGACATGTCGAGCCGGGACCACGAACAGGCGCCATCCCGAAAGAACGGGAAGTGTTCCAGCGCGAGGCATTTCCACCACCGGTGCCACCGAAGCCACATAGATAAGGCGCACGAGGGGCGGAGTATTCGTCCAGCAGCCCAGTTTACGTCGCAGATGCTCAGTCGAGGAACTGGCGTAACTCGAATAACCGCCATTTCCGAGTAGAGGACCGGAGAGCGGATGATTTTCAACCGGAGGAGGCGTACGCCAACGTACAAGAAACGGCGTACATGAAGCTCGAGCGGTGGAACGTCAAGTTTGATGCCTGGAGTTCCTGCAGAGGCAGTATCAATGCCCGTGGAAGGAGGTCCTGCGCGGTTTCCACCTGCTCCTGACCGGCCGCGCCCGCGAGTGGTATTGGATGCACGTGCGGCATTCTAGGGTCGACAGCTGGATGCAACTGCGACATGCCCTCTTGGACAGGTTCCGGGGCTACCAGACGGAACACGATGTGATACAGGAGCTATTACAACGAGAGCAACAGGCCAGCGAAGGCGTCGCGTTGTCCACAAGGGACGAGGCCCGTAGCCCACGAGGTTGAAGTACCACCACAACGTACAGAAACGCCGCCGGGAGAACTGGAGGAAGCATTCGTGCGAGGCAGGAACTCATCCCGACTTGTATGCTGGAACTGCAGACAATTCGATCACGTCTTTAGAGACTGCCTGTCCAAGGAGCGGAAAATATTCTGCTATAGGTGTGGAAAGCCGGACACTTTCCAGTGCGAAAACTGTCCGGGAAGCCCCAGAGGGAGCGCGGTGATGGCGGGGCAGACGCGTTCCGGGACGGCGACCGCGGGGAAGCAGGAGAGGGGTACCTACAAAAGCCAATAATCATGGAAAAGGAGACGGAGAGTTGGAATAAGGATCAGGATAAGGCGTATTATAATAATAATATAAGCAAAGGAGGAACACTTAGGGGCTTACCGTATGAAGAACGTGTTCGGGCATACATGTCGGCCCGAAATAGAATTTTTGGTGAGCGGCAGGTGGAAGGGATGACACTAGCCAACCGGAGAGTGGTGAAGGCACGTGCGCGCTTCCGCAGACGCAGGATTACCCGGCGCCAGGTCGTCGAAGCGGTGAGACGGGAGGATTGTATAGACCCACGCGTATTTGCCGAAGTGGAAGTCGCCGGGGCCAAGATGAAAGGGTTGCTGGACACGGGGGCCTCAGTCAGTCTGTTGGGACGAGGATGCCGGAAGTTAGTGGAGGAACTGGGATGGGAAGCGCGGCCTTACGAATCGATGGTGAGGACAGCGGCGGGTGCCAATCGCCCAATTTTAGGTCGCGTGGTTCTGCCTGTGAAATACGAGAATAGAAAGGAAAATATCGTATTTTACATGTGCCCGGACCTGCGACAGGAACTATACCTGGGGATCGATTTCTGGCGGGCCTTTGAGATTGTACCAGAGCTGCTCGGTCCGGCCAGAAAGCCAGGAACACCACCAGAGGCATCTGAGGAAACGGTAGCGAACCCAGAGGTGGCATATTACCGGGACGACGACGACTGCGCGGCGGATTCGGAAATGTGGGACCTGGACAACGATCAGAAGAGTCAGTTGGAAAGCGTGAAGCGCAGATTTCTCCAATTTGAGAAGGATGGCCTAGGGAAAACTCACCTGCTCCAGCACCGAATTCAGCTGATCGAGGGAACAGAACCCGTGAAGGACAGACATTATCCGCTGTCTTCATCCAATGCGACGCGTCTCACTACGGAGTAGGAGCCGTGTTGTTCCAGCTAGACGACGAGCAACAGGAAAGGCCGATCGCATTCTCCTCGACCAAACTCAACAAGCACCAGATCAACTATTCGGTGACCGAGAAGGAATGCCTAGCCGCCAAGCTGGCCATACATCGATTTCGACCGTACGTGGAGATGATGCCGTTCACGGTAATCACCGATCATGCGAGCCTGCAGTGGCTTATGAGTCTCAAAGACTTGAGCGGGAGACGTCAGCTCATGGAGGCATGAGGAAAACGCTGCATGCGCTGCGCAGGCGATATTATTGGCCCAACATGGCCATACAAGTCAGGTATTATGTACGGAAATGCGAGACATGCAAGGAGACCAAGGCACAAAACTACCGGATGCAGGTCGGCATTGGGGAAGAAGTGCGCACCGACCGCCCCTTCCAGAAGCTTTATATCGACTTCTTGGGGAAGAATCCACGGTCGAAACGAGGGCATGCGTGGATATTCGTCGTCGTAAACCACTTCTCGAAATTTACCTTCCTGAAGGCCATGAGGGTAGCCACCGCGGCGGATGTCGTTTACTTCCTAGTGCATGATGTGTTCTTCAAATTTGGCGTGCCGTTCGATGCTACTGTCCAGGCGTTTGGCATTACCCACCTGCGCACACCAGTGTATTCGCCTCAGAGCAACGCCGCCGAACGCGTGAACCACACAGTGCTGTCTGCAATCAGAACCTACCTGGGTCAGGATCATCGGGATTGGGACGCGTACCTACCAGAGGTGGAAGTGGCGATCCGGAATGTGGTCCACAGCGCTACGGGAGTTACTCCGTTTTTCGCGGTCTTTGGACAGCAGATGTACCTGAATGGTTCCAGTTACAAACTGGCCAGGAAGCTGAGATCATTGGCCGATCACAGTATTCCTGGCCTTGACGCGAAGGACAGACTGGCTGTAATCCGAAGCCAAGTCAAGGACCACCTGCACACCGCATACGAGCGAAGCCGCCAACGATACGACCACCGTGCGCGCCAGCTCCATCTGGAACCGGGACAGGAAGTGTGGAGGCGCAACTTTGCACTAAGCAGCTTCGGCAAAGCCTTCAATGCCAAGTTCGCCCTGAAATTCTTGAAGAGCCGAGTCGTCCGAGCCGTGGGCACCAATGCCTACGAGTTAGAAGATCTCCAGGGACGCATGCTGGGCGTCTTCCACGCAAAAGATATACGAACATAATCGTAGTTTGCTCACCTCAATGCCAGGCAATGGCGGCGGCAGCGCCCGTCCTCCCTGTTTTGTTTTTGTTTTTTCGGGTCGGTGCGAAATATGGATTGGCCTACGTTGGGCATCGTTATTAGCCGGCTGGGTCAATCCATGAAATGCGCACGCAGATTCCTTGTAATGGTCATTCATGTCATTACAATAATCTGCGTGGTGATGTTGCATTTGACGTTATCGGTAGCACCGAGGGTTTCCTAGTTGGTTGCGTGCGATATTATCGGCCACGCCGATATCTTTTCGCCATAGGATCAGAGTATGCGGGGTGAAGCGGCGCCCACGGCGGAGCCCAAATTTTTGAAGGGTGGCAACGCCAGACTTGCGATCCACGGCGCCAATAGCGACGATTGCTATTGGCCGCTCAGTTCGCTCTTAAAGGGAATATGAATTGAGTGGATCGCATGCCCTTGTATATGCCCTTGACCGTCATATGGGCCATTGACCCAAAAAAATGCAGCTGTGCAGATGTGCAGCAACGGTGCCCGCCTCGCATATGTATGCGTGTGCCGAAATTCGGCACCGATGATGTTGCTGCCCAAATGTTATGAGAGTTCGATTTTGTCAGCGGTCCACAGCGGACGTACCGGCTCACCGTTAAGAAAATCTGAAAATTGGATATTTTATTTTGCCGGCTAAGGGCATGTGCTTAAAAAAAAAAAGAGGAATAGAAAATATCAAATCACACTTGTTTTTTGAGGAGGTTTCTTTATTAGTAAATCGCTTAACCCTTATGTGCTAAGGTATTGCAAAAGAAAGAACTTAAAACCTAAGTGCGACGAGACAAGCAAAAAAAAAAAAAAATTAACGGTTCCGGCAACAAAGGGACCAGCTCCCGCACCTCAGCGGCACACACCAGCCATATCCCCGACGCCGCCAGCCAAATGTCGGCGTAATCCACGGGACGGACGGACGAGCCATCACGGACCGGACGCCAACACCGAAGAAGCGGTCACAGGCGAGACCACGCCCACATCCTCCGAGTGAGTCCGTTTCATTTTTGCCCATCCTCGTTCGAGCACTTGGCAGAGATATGATGGAGTCTCCTGACCGTACTCCCTGAAAAAGAACAGAGTTTTTTTTTGTCGTTAAATTTAGTTTTTTGTATTTATAAATCATGTCCATACTTACATAGGCACTTACGCCGAGTTTCACTTAAGAGTGCGAACGTTGACGGAATTTCCAAAGGTGATGCATCTGCGCCTGTAAAAGATAAACATTTAAAATTAACACTTGCGCGAACTATGCTCACATACTTACCTAATTGGAATTATCCATTTACATCGCCCCTTACCTCCCCCAGAGAGCTCTTTAGGTAGGGTAAGGTAGAATTAAGCGATTTAATACAATTCATATCACCTACCTGTTGCACGACCGATATTCGTGGCATACCCAGTTTTGCGTAGTTGTGTGGGCACATTGGTCCTAAATTGGCGCAACGTTTGCATCCAAATTTCCTTCGTGCGTGTTTTGTTTTTGCGGCGACTAGCAGTATCCTGGTAGAATTTCGTCGCCTGTTCCACTTAGTGCTGTTAAAATGAAAAAAAGAGAATTCTAGAAGATAAGAGAAAAATTTAGGCATTAATACACTTTGTCCATAAGTATAAATATAAATATGCAATATTAATACGCACCCGTGTAAGAAACGTTCACGTGCATAAGTGTTAATTCATCTGGACGGAGACCTCATGCAAATCAGAAAGGAATAAAAGAAATATTAAGGCCAATAATTATAAGAATGCACAAACCATTATACGCACCTGTGAAGCTAACCAAATATCCTCTTGTAAGAGATTCGAAATAGCTGCAAAGATAAATGCCATAAGCAATGCTTATAATTGTTATTCACTTTAAGAAAACGCAACCAATTATATACCGTATCTGATGAGAGAAATGTTCGGTTAAATTTCCTTCGTTGGGGAGAATTGGCATAACAGCCGGCACAGGCTGATGGCCATCTAATTTACAAAATGAGGGAGACGAGTGTAGGTGCTCGTCTCATGGTTGGGCGGGTACGCTGGGTCCGGAACCGGGGCCCGATCTGGAAGAGTAAGGTGGATTAATAGTGTTTTTTGTAAATTTATATTGAGTGTCTCACCTTTGTTGTTTACATTTTCATAGTTGTTACAGCTGTTTATTTTGTTCATGAGTTAGAAGTTCCGATTGTTTGACGTTATCGATTTGTGGCTCGTTTTGCATAGTGCTGTGTAAGTCTGTTTTGCTACAGACGTGTAGCTTTGTTGTTATCGATTGTGCGGACTGCGGGCCAGGGATGGGACTACACCCAGAGAAACCGATGAGCCAGCCGGCGCGGCCCACAGAGAAACAAGCAGTTCCGTAACAAATTATGATATATATATAAACACAAAATTAAAATTTTACTATTTTTCTATCCTTATTGGACTAAATGTACTCTCTAAGAATAAAAACAAGACCAGATATTAATATACATAAATTAAGAAAACCCTTTATAATTATGTTTCAAAAGGAGGGAGATGTGGTATGCACATATCGAGAGTACACTGTGCTCAGCACTATGTCCAGTATATACTTCATATATACTTGCATAAGATATATGTGTGCATACATACATATATACGCTTGCATAAGCTATATATGTGCACAACACGCTCTATTCTACCAGCGACGTTTTCGCTGCTTACATATAAGCTACATATATTCGTTTCATATGTTATATATAAAACAACCTGTATACAAAGGGCAGCGCTGCCACCAAGGACTGCTCAGCTTTAGGCTTAGTAATACTTAATACCAAAATGTAAAGACAGATTGATAAAAGTGTCCGGAGCGATAAGAACAGTCGCTCCTTCTAAAACTCGTAATATAACTGAAAAAAAACGGGTTATTTCCGACAGAATAAATAACGACAAAAGAGAACACCTGCATTTAGGTTTCTTCGCACCGAGCAAAAACACTTTTCGTTCTTTTTTTTCGCACAAGTTCTTCCACGAGCACTGAACAGAAAAAAAAAAAACTGCCAAAGTGTCTTTTGTGGATATGCATGTTTTTTTTTTTTTGTTTCTTTTTTTTCCATTAATTATTAAATGGGTGTTTGCTTATAACATAAGTATATACATGTACACATAAGCATCGTGCCATCTTTCTCTCCCACTCTCGCTATAGCTTTCATTGATCTCGTCTCACGACAACAACAAGAAAAGACACTTTTCGCTTCCACTTTTTTCGTTTTGCTCATCGAGAGACACTTATTTTCTGTGCGATCGGCCGAATGTGTTCTGTTAAGATGTTACTGTTAGACAGAACAGTGTGTATTGTTCAAGCAAAAGCAGAAAAAAAAGAACAGAGTACACAAGCGCAACGAAAAAAATATGTTCTATAGAGAGCGATGCAGATCGCATTGAAAATAAGTGTTGACTGTTATTTGCGACCTCTGCTCCTATCTACTATTGCATATAAAAGAACCAATCATTCCGTCACTAAGAGAAAACCGATAGAAATAGTGCACTCAGCCTCAATAGAGATAGAATCCAACTCCAAAAAGCCCAAGACAAGAGCCTCAAGCAATCAAATAAAAATAGGTCACATAGGGAATTCCAAACAAGAGAACGAGTATGGCTAAAAGCAAACAAACGACGGTACAAAGTCAACACCATTATGTACTGAAGAAACGATCTACTCCGACCTTGGCACGAAGGTTCTTATTAAAGAGAGGGTGGCCTATAAGGACAACCTCAAGTAGCACGATTATAGATTTCTCTATTATTTAAGCAAAAAACGTTTATTGCATTTCTTCCAAGATACATTTACCATTAACATCCCTCTAGCCTCATGTTTATTAATTCTGATATCAATCGCACTTACGACTGCGACAATGAAACTGACAAATTACACTCACTCCGACTACATACCCGTAGCAGATGGTGACGTGCCTATGTGGGACAAGTATGGTTACCTAGGACAGACTACGAACATGACAACGAACGAGACTTACGTGGACGAGACCGGGGAGAACACTATGTACTTATTCAACCAGGAACACGTCAAGGAAGTACTCACTACAGACCTTGCACTTATCGACACATTAGTAACTAAAAGTTAATCATAGACAATCTAGCAGTATAAATAAAGATCAAAGTTTGGAGTTCCTGCTACTGCTTTTAAAGCTGTTACTAAAAGAGTAAACAGCTTTAAAAGCAGTAGCAGGAACTCCAGACTTTGACCATTGGGAGCAAATAAAGTCTAGGCATATGCGGTTAATAGATTCTGAAACCAGACAAATAGAAATAAATACGAAGCTACAAACGAAACTCAACGAACTAACAAAGACCTTAGATTCGATACATAAAACTGACGGGACCTCTAAAGATCACCTCTACGAAACATTTTAAGCAAAAAATAGAATGATAATAACAGATTTAGAAAATTTAATCCACGCCATCACTCTGGCTAAAATAAACCCGATCAGCCCAGCAATATTGGATGAAATTGATATAAAAGAAATGATCTTCAAACATTTTAGAAATGCTACTGTAGCAGACATATTAGAAGTAGCTAGCATTACAAAATAACTAAATATTATATTTGCTAATTAAATACCCAAATCCTGAATTAGCCTGTAAGAAAATTAACATTTTTCCCGTCCAACATTCCAATAGAATTTTAGATCTACGCCGTCGGTGAATGCGATGCGGCGGTGAGTTCCACGTTCTGCAGGAAGCTAAGATCACCGAACTGCGTTCAGCAGCTCATATCCGGAACTCTTGCAAAGTGCAGCACTCGCCCGGGATATCTGAGCCCGCTTACCATAGATGACGGCGCGATCATCATCAACGATGCGATCGGCACTATCACAGACAATGCTGGCACAACAACAACAATATATAGTATAGTATAGTATTTCAATCCAATAGCATTATTTACATATTAATCGACTATCCTAAAGTTAAGGTAATATGTAAGAAAGCCATAATATTTTCCGTGACACACAACAACACCGTACTGCAAATGCATGACAACGTAGTGGCGGAATGCGACGATGGAATCTTGGCTGTCATAGAGTGCACTACAATTGACTATGCGACGTTCTGCAAACAGGTAACTCATGAAACCTGTGTTCGCGGAATATATGCATGTGGATCAGTTGTATGCCACAACCCAGTCACCTGGAGCCGATCACGCTAGTGGATTAGGGGATAATAATCGTCAACACACAATTCGCAAGAGTCGGCATAGCTGACGTGCTCGATCGCATAGCTATAAAAACACCAAATATTTGAACCACAACAAAGCTCCCCTAGTGTGGTAGCGGGGAGGTGGCGATAGGTATAAAATGAAATATACTTGAAATATCTATAATATTCTAGAAGCAACATATCATGTTTGGTGGCTCTAGCTCTTATTATTAACTCAATTTGCTAAAAAAAAAAAGGATGTCGATATCGATTGCTTGGAAACGGATTATCGATTATCGGAAACAAACAAACTAACGGACGGGCAGAGAGACGGACATGGCTAGATCGACTCGGCTATTGATGCTGATCAAGAATATATATTCTTTATGGGGTCGGAGATGCTTCCTTCTGCCTGTTACATACATTTGGATTTTTTATCGATTGCTAGGAAACGGAGCAAGTTATCGATTATCGGAAACAAACTCGATCTGCGCGGGAACTAGGAGCATCAACATCTAAAATTTCAAGTCTCTAGCTCTTATAGGTTCTGAGATCCTTGCGTTCATACATACGGACGGACGGACGGGCGGATGGGTGGACGGATAGACAGACGGACATGGCTAGATCGACTCGGCTATTGATGCTGATCAAGAATATATACTTTATGGGGTCGAAGATGCTTCCTTCTGCCTGTTACAGACATTTGGATTTTGCACAAATACAATATACCCTTGTACCCATTTTTAATGGGTTCAGGTTATAAAAATAATGTTCGCGTTACTCAAGGTAATTCAGAAAGCGAGCAGACTCCTTCAGGTATTCAAAGCAACTAAAATTTGTACACACAACTAATCTCAATCTCAGCATATTTATAAAAATTAATAAGAACAAGTAAGAGGTTCTAGTCGGGAGCTCCCGACTAGGGGATACCCTGAACCCTCTTCTTCCAACATCAAATGAATATATATATTCTATTTCAGAAGCTCAAGTTTGGTGACTCTAGCTATTATTGTTTACCAAAATTGCCCAAAAAACAGGATATCGATATCGATTTTTATCGATTGCTTGGAAACTGAGCAAGTTATCGATAATCGGAAACAAACTTGATCTGCGCGGGAACTAGGATCATCTACATCTACATTTCTAGCTCTTATAGGTTCTGAGATCCTTGCGTTCATACATACGGACGGATGGACGGACTTATACTTTATGGGGTCGGAGGAAGATGCTTCCTTCTGCCTGTTTTATACATTTGGATTTTGCACAAATACAATATACCCTTATACCCATTTTTAATGGGTTCAGGGTATAAAAATACAGGTAAAAATTTAACTTATAAATAGAAGTTAACGAGCGTCACTCCCAAGAAGACATTGAACTACCCTCGCACACTAGAGCGACAAAATTATAGAGCAGCCCACGCTCATATAACGTTTCGGAGTAGTCGCTTGTCATTACCTTTAAACTGGGCATTCTTAGCTTAAGTTCTATGTCTTAGTTCTTGAAGTTTCAGTTTTGTATGAATATTTGAAGAGCTCGATGCTCGAATAAAGTACTTGTTCCGCCAAATGACGTGAAATATAAATATCATTTTCTGAATTGCTGAGCCACAAGGTCAGTAATAGGAATCCAAATTCCCACCTTAATCCTTGTCTTCAACTGAAGGCAAAGTACATCCTGAAGACGGTTTACATCTCAGAGTGACACCGGCAAGGTTCTTCGCTGGATACTCAACTTCCCATAACTGGCGCCCAATGGATTTTAACATAAGAACCCAAATACTCCCAAAGAGAAACATGTAAGTGAGCGATTAGCGTTTTTTGACTTCAATATTCAAAAAGATAAAATATAAGAATTGCAAGTGAATTGTAAAGCTAATTCTAAACACTGTGTGCTAATTATTTCGGGTTAATTGATTTGCTTTGAAACATAAAGATCATATGTAAGACCATTCCTTTGTTTCTGACCACTCTGCAATTTCATGGTATTAATAGTGCTCACATTTATGCCCATGAGTTGGGCAAGAATTTGACAGTGACGATAGCGAAAAAGCAGGCTTTCGCTCTCAGCTGCTAGACAAT